TAAAGTAACTACCATTGCAGCACTGTGCACGAATGTCCATCATTTTGTAAACAAACAGTACAGGTTATGACTTTGGACTTGAAAACAAATTAGTCGGCTCTTAGGTTTGAAGTTAAATAATTATTCCCGCTGCATTTCGAATAATAATGAAAGAAGAATTTAAACAAGGTGGACTTGTGATCCGAATGCAAAACTTTGCTTAGATTTCAGAAAGGAGCCTAGCCTAGAGCCTATCGTTGCCAGATAGGCTGAAAGGGCATTGCATGAAAATACGTGTGTTTTCAAATTATTTCACCGATTCTGCATCACACGGTTTACCGAGGAATACTTCGTAGCTGTCTTATGAAGTAGGAGGTAGTAATTTGAGGAGGAAATATCCGTTTTTCCTATAATATTCCTTCTTCCAAGGCAAGACCGGGGACTGAACGGTAGGCACAACAACAACAAGATGGCTGACGAGCCTCCTCTCCTTGTCCGGCAGAGCAGGCTAGCTTTGCCACCAACAATCCGGCACAGATACGAAAATATTTTGTTGCTGAAGTTTGCATCGGATTTTTATTGTAAAATGTGCACGAACGTTTGAACACTATAGAATGTCTACTCTATAGTCGAAAATGGTGTGCTGCTGTGTCAAAAGGAACGGAAAATAGACTCGTTTCGCATGCCAGGTTGGTACTTCTGTGGCTTTCTCTGCAAAATTGCCTACCCTAAACCCCCAAACCCCATCAGAGTTTTACCTTTTGTAACAGCAACAAAACAAGTTATAAAAATGCCAGTGCTTGTAAGTTTACATTAATTTTTTGTGAAGTTTTACATGCTTTTAATGTAAAATCACTAAATTGTTGTAATTTGCAAGTTTCGGGCTGATATGTTTTCTTACTTTTGTGTTAGACAACTTATCTGAAATCAATAAATAGAATCAAACATACTTCTGACATGGTGAGAGGAAATTTGTAAATGACCTTCAGTTATGGTTTTAGGCTAGTTTATAATACTGAATATGTTGGTGAAATCAGGGCTCTGTAGCTCAAACGGTTTAGGAGATATAAATTTTTAAAGTTTTGAGGGGAAAATAGCGGCTTTGAAAGGAAGTGTAGGTATTACTCCAACAATCTGTTCAGTAAGGTTGAATCTGACTACACCATTTAAATGAGGATAAAAAACTGATGACATAGGTGTTTTAGATTTAACCTTACTGGACATATTCTTGGAGTAATACCTACACTCCCTTTCAAAGCCGCTATTTTCCCCTCAAAACTTTAAAAATTTATATCTCCCAAACCGTTTGAGCTACAGAGCCCAGATTTGGAGGGGGTTCGTATCTCATGAATACCTTTTCGAGAGCAAAAATAAAATCTGAAACCAGACCCGAAATCTTGGGTAAATCATGAAAAGAACTCACTTTTTCAACAAAATAAGTTAATATTCATACAAAACAAGAGTAGCAGGAATGATATGTATAAAGTGAAAAGGAACATAATAACTTCGCCCTGTCTTATGAATATATTTAGTAGGTCCGTCCTTTTAAAAAAAATGTTGGCGCCTTACTGACAGTGGCTAAGTCCAAGTGCACCTGACACTTAAAATAGTTTTTGAGTGGCCGCACCACAGGCGACCCCTCCAGAACCACACAATCTGTGGTGTTAGCACAGGCCACCTCCACAACCACTTACATGTGTGGTGCGCACCACAGGAATACGTGTGGTAGCCCTGTTGTGCCTCTGTGGTTTTTTCTCTAGGGGGGTTGGTGGGGAAGGGAAGGGGGAGTGTTTTTGGACCAGTTGGACAAGGCGCTGCGCCACTAGCCTCGCACAGGGTGTCACTTTTAGCCCAAAATTGTTTGTTTTGGTAGTTTAGGTTAACGTGCCTCATGGTACACGATTTCAAATCTAAATCTCTTGAGTATTTTCTTCTTTGACTTTGACCATGCCTCGTCGGAGCACCAAGCGGAAGGATAGAAAAAACCATGGCGCTCCCAGCGGCGAGAGATCTAGAAAAAGAAGATTCCACGGCAATAAACCGAAGGATATTCCACGACCAAGTTCTGCCTGTTCTTCCCAGTCTTCTGCTTCTTCAAGAAAGCTTTTCACTTCTATTGATTCTCTCCCCCCCTGAGAGTAAAGTCTCCCATGTTTTACTCACTTTACCTTAGTTTTTGAAGAAATTGCTTATCATGTGAAGTGTCGCCAGTGTGGAAGTGATGTGACCTTCTGTGAAAGTGGTGTGGGGGGGCTGGGTTTTAGCATAGTAATTTCTTGTGATTGTGAAGTTAGCCCAGAAATTAAATCTTGCCCTCTCATTGGAACTAAAAAGAATGCATTCGAAGTGAACAGGCGTGCTGTGTTTGCTATGAGAAACATAGGACTTGGAATGACAGCACTAAAAACTTTCTGTGTTATTGTTGACCTGAATCCGCCAGTGTGGGCAAGTGCTTATGATGTCATTGTGGATTCTATCTGTACCGCTGCTGTGGAAGTGGGGAACAGTTCTATGATGCTGGCCACTTCAGAAGAAATTACGGCAAGTGGAAATCCTGAAGAGTTAGCTGTGTCAGGGGATGGTTCGTGGAGGCGCCCAGGTTTCTCCTCACTCGACGGTGTCTCCACTATAGTTGGACAGAAAACTGGTAAGTGCTTGGATGTGGAGCCTAAGAGTTCTTACTGCAAAGAGTGTGATTCATGGGAGGCTAAGTCTGGCACCGAAGAATATGTGGATTGGCTGAATGGGCATGCATTTGAGTGTCTAGCAAATCACGAAGGAAGTGCAGAGAAGATGGAAGTAGACGGGATTGTAGAAATCTTTAGTCGGTCTGAGAAAAAAATATGGTGCTCGCTACAAGTATTATATTGGGGACGGTGATTCGAAAACTTGTAAGAGTGTGATTGATAGCAAGCCCTATGGCAATACATTTCAAGTAGTAAAGAAAGAGTGTGTTAGACATGTTCAGAAGAGGATGGGCGGGCACGCGCCTTAGAAATATGAAAAAAAGATTATTCTGGCAAGAAAGTCAAGGACGGAAAGCTGTTAGGTGGAAAAGGAAGGCTGACAGCAGAATTAATAGATAAATTAACTGTATACTATGGCAATGCAATAAGAAACAATACAGACTCTGTACCAGAAATGAAAAAGCTCTGCTTGCAACACTCTATCATATGAGTTCAACAGATAGCAAGCCACAACACTAATACTGTGCTGTGGGTAAGGAGAGTTGGTGCTCTTATCAGAAAGCAAAATTTCACAGGAATTTAAGAGGATACAAGCATAAAGAAGCAATAGATCCAGCAGTGTTTGAAGTTCTAAAACCTATCTACCTAGATCCATACAAATCAAGACTAGTTGCTAAAGGATTTCCACAAGTAAAAGGAGTAGACTACAAGGAAACGTACTCTCTAGTTTTGATGAAGAAAAGCATAAGAATTTTGCTTGCAGTAGCAGTTGAGAAAAATTATGAAACAAGACACATTGATGTATTGTCAACATATCTGAATAGTCCCATCAAAGAAGAATTATACATGGAGCAGCCAAAAGGGTATGAGATAGGAGGCAACAGTTATGTTTGCAAGTTAAGAAAAAGTATTTATGGCCTACACCAGAGTGGCAGAGACTGGAGTATGCA